ATTCATTGTTTATTATGTTTGATATGTTAAAATGTAAAAGTAGTGCTTGAGCGATCTTTATCAATGGTAAATTTTTGTTGATCGAATTGGTAACTCACTTGATTGATTTATTTATTTTCCAACTACAGTAATTAAAATTTTACATCCGATCCATTGAGTGAGGTACTTGAGAACAGCCTGATACATTTATTTATATAAATCAACTAATCATATAAATATCCTATTCGGATATAACTATTATCCTTTTATCTAAATAGGATACAAAACCGGTTATTGGATTTTGTTAAAGGTTACAACCTTTCAGGTAAAGAGTTATCTGGATACGAGCACTACCACAGGGGCGTCTCATCCATATTACAAATAAATTTTAAGGGATAATCATGTTGAATTCTGTGGTATAATACATAATTTAAAAAAGACTGTTGCAAGATGTTGGGCTATTGTTATTCTACGTCTATTAGAAAGATTATATCGAACAAGAAATGCATCAAGCCATCTGTTTGAAAATTTAAACTGAATAATATCAGGATATCTTGAGCGAAATTTATTTTGAGACAAAGCCACAGCCTTTTTTGTAATCATATTGTGTGTAACTGCATTACCACAAGCTCTTGTTACATTAATCCAATTAAACAAATTATCTTCTAAATCAGGATATTTGGCTGGTTTTCCCAAATGAAGTTTTTTAGCATATGGTGCAGCTAATAATAGATTGTCTTTTTTGTTTTTCCAATCACGTATCTGCTTGGGTTCCAAATCAAATCACTTTGCAGTTCCATGTATATTATTATTATTATTTACAAGGTATTCTAAAATCATAAGTTTTTCTTTAACGGTCCATGAACGATGAACTTTAGAAGACATAGTTTTCTTGGCTTTTTTAAATTGTTTGTTTGCAATACGACCCATTGTAATGTTGTAATATATGTAAATAAATTACGAATTTTTACTTTTACTTTTTATACTTAAATTTTTGAATATAATTTATTAGTAATACAAAGTTACATTTTTAATGCAGATATTTGTTTACATATATACCCGGTATTTTGCAATAAATATACCCCCCCTTATATACAATACCTGCCCAAGTAAAGTACTCTGATCGGGCTTTAAAATGCCAAAATTTGTATAAGACCCAGGGTACTTTGGTGAACGGAATACGGTAATTATAGTTCCATATAACAATTACAAATTTGAGGATGATCATGAGAATATTGTATGCAATAATTATTTAACCACAGTTCGAATATGTATGTATATAATGACAAACACTACTGCTATGCAATAATTCACAAGTGACCATTCAGAAAAAAATCAATGACTATCTACTGAAAGATGAGTCACGTGGATGCCGTGTCAGTAGACCGTTTTAAAATGAACGAATTCTGATCAGAAGAATATATTTCTCACGATTATTATTTCGCACAGTCATATGCATGCATGTACCAATTACATCATAATATGTAATGAATGATATACGTAGTTATGTAATCTGTAAAGTATTAACACTTTCTAAAAACGAATAAATGAAAATCATTATTTCTACCAAAAAAAAAGGATCAGCATAGGCCACGCCCAAAAAGTTGAATTAAACCATCCCTCTCAATTTCATGTGATCGTACTGGTATATATTATAAATCAAAAATGTAAATAGTAATAATAAATGAATTCCAATTGAACTATATTGTTTGACATTACAAATGTTCTTACCTTAAATAACAATCCATTCATCGCAACAATGAAATCATCTTGAAAAATTGTAAATGATCAGCATAGCGTCAAAACACATGCTCAACGTTATTCACATGATGTAATTACACCAAGAATGAAATCATAACACTTTCTAAAAATGAATAAATGAAAATCATTAATCCTACCAAAAAAAGGAATTTTCAAAATCAGCATAGGCCACGACGATAAAGTTGAACGGAACCATCCCTCTCACATTTCATGTTACACATTCATGTGATCGTACTGGTATATAATTTGCATCAAATAAAATTCAATTCTGGTATATCAGACCGGATCATTCCAAGAAACATACGTACGTTACAGGAGCGACCGTCGATGTTACACGACTGACTTTTCACCCGGTGTGCAACATATAAAAAAACTATTTTA